GTGAAGGGAGCTGCCTTCACAAAAGGGGTTCTGTGAAGGGAGCTGCCTTCACAAAATGGATTCTGTGAAGGGAGCTGCCTTCACAAAATGGATTCTGTGAAGGGAGCTGCCTTCACAAAATGGATTCTGTGAAGGGAGCTGCCTTCACAAGAGGGATTCTGTGAATGGAGCTGCCTTCACAAAATGGATTCTGTGAAGGGAGCTGCCTTCACAAAATGGATTCTGTGAAGGGAGCTGCCTTCACAAAGTGGATTCTCTGAAGGGGGTTGCCTTCACAAAATTGATTCTGTGAAGGGAGCTGCCTTCACAAAGTGGATTCTGTGAATGGAGCTCCCTTCACAAAATGGATTCTGTGAAGGGAGCTGCCTTCACAAAATGGATTCTGTGAAGGGAGCTCACAAAAGGGATTCTGTGAAGGGAGCTGCCTTCACAAAATGGATTCTGTGAAGGGAGCTGCCTTCACAAAATGGATTCTGTGAAGGGAGCTGCCTTCACAAAATGGAAGGGAGCTGCCTTCACAAAACGGATTCTGTGAAAGGAGCTGCCTTCACAAAATGGGTTCTGTGAATGGAGCTGCCTTCACAAAATGGATTCTGTGAAGGGAGCTGCCTTCACAAAATGGATTCTGTGAAGGGAGCTGCCTTCACAAAATGGATTCTGTGAAGGGAGCTGCCTTCACAAAATGGATTCTGTGAAGGGAGCTGCCTTCACAAAATGGATTCTGTGAAGGGCGCTGCCTTCACACAAGGGATTCTGTGGAGGGAGCTGCCTTCACAAAACATATTCTGTGAAGGGAGCTGCCTTCACAAAATGGATTCTGCCCAAGGGAGCTGCCTTCACAAAGTGGATTCTGTGAAGGGAGCTGCCTTCACAAAATGGATTCTGTGAAGGGAGCTGCCTTCACAAAATAGATTCTGTGAAGGGAGCTGCCTTCACAAAATGGATTCTGTGAAGGGCGCTGCCTTCACAAAAGGGATTCTGTGAAGGGAGCTGCCTTCACAAAATTGATTCTGTGAAGGGAGCTGCCTTCACAAAGTGGATTCTGTGAAGGGAGCTGCCTTCACAAAATTGATTCTGTGAAGGGAGCTGCCTTCACAAAGTGGATTCTGTGAAGGGAGCTGCCTTCACAAAAGGGATTCTGTGAAGGGAGCTGCCTTCACAAAAGGGATTCTGTGAAGGGAGTTGCCTTCACAAAATGGATTCTATGAAGGGAGCTGCCTTCACAAAATGGATTCTGTGAAGGGAGCTGCCTTCACAAAGTGGATTCTGTGAAGGGAGCTGCCTTCACAAAATGGATTCTGTGAAGGGAGCTGCCTTCACAAAAGGGATTCTGCTGCCTTCACAAAGTGGATTCTGTGAAGGGAGCTGCCTTCACAAAATGGATTCTGTGAAGGGAGCTGCCTTCACAAAATGGATTCTGTGAAGGGAGCTGCCTTCACAAAAGGGATTCTGTGAAGGGAGCTGCCTTCACAAAAGGAATTCTGTGAAGGGAGCTGCCTTCACAAAATGGATTCTGTGAAGCTGCCTTCACAAAATAGATCCTCGATGGTGAACTTGAGTACACCATTGAGAACACCTTCTACGAGATCTATCAAGTTCTGCCGCGTGTTGAGAGCATTACTCGCCTGGAGCAAGCTCCAGCAAACTCCGACGGCTGACGGATGAGCGCAATGCTGAACCACAGCCACACCGACCGCGGAAGGTTGGGACAGCAAACACGCATGAGAGAAGAGTGACGAAGCAGAAGATCAAGCTGGCTTTTGATGAGCAAGTGGAATGGCTGACCCACTTGCGCAAGCTTCAATGGCATGATCTATCACGAGACGTCACTACGCCGATTTATGCCACCATCCGTGACAGACCGCACTACCTTTTGGTCCACATTTTCTCTGGCAGACGCAGGGTTGGAGATTTTCACCACTGCATTGCGGAATGGGCTACGAAGAGGAATGTCATGGTGACGGTTTTGTCCATGGACACCGCCAACTCTATCACTTTGGGGAACCTCCACATGAGGTCCGCTTCTTGGAAGGAGCTCACCAAGTGCTACGAGGGTGGCCTTGTCTCCGGCACCTTAGCCGGTACGCCGTGTGAGACATTTTCGGAGGCTAGGCACCATGTGCCTTCAACCGAAGAGGAGGAGACCCTATAGAAAGGCACAGACGCAGGTACCCGCGTCCTTTGCGATCACATGACCGCCTTTTCGGACTTCCCGCTTGGGCGATCCGCGAGTTGAAACAACTGCGTATGGGAAGTGCCTTCTTCCTCCAGGGGATTCAGCTGATGGCATACCACCTTCGTTTGCACCCGGCGCCTCCTTCTGACACTTCGAGGGCCTCCATCTGGAGTTCTCCTTGGGTCGAACTTCTTCTTCAGCATCCTGAGGTGAAGCTCCACATAGTGCCACAATGGAAATTCGGTGCTTTGGCCCCGAAACCGACGGGCCTTTTGAACCTGAGGCTCCCCTGTTTTTTAAGGTCCCTCTATCAACATGCGGACGGGTCCTTGCAGAAGCCTACAGGTGTAGCAATTGGATGCAATCCAGACGGCAGCTTCAAGACTAGCTGCTTGAAGGAGTATCCAAGCCGCTTTAGTGCTGGACTAGCACAATCCATTACCGATCAGCTGGACGCGGAGCGACGACAGGGTCGAGTGAGGCCTACCTCCCCTGGCAGCGAGGGTGAACCCTCTTGAGCCCGAAAGAGTGAAAGAGTGAAGAGACAGCTAAGATCAAAGTGGCATCTCAATGATCGTTTCTATATTGCTGCGCACAACAGCTCAGGGAAAGTTTTCGTGAATTGTGAAAGTTTCACCAACACTGGTAGTGGGAAAGAAATGCACACCCCTGCAGCAAAATCATTCACAAACAAAGACATGCCCAGGAATTCCGCAAGGGATCATTGTTTATCCGGAAGCCGCCCGGAAGCCTAAAAGACTAGAGCTGAAATCTACAGAATGATGTAGACCGTACATTCGCTGTACATATTGTACTAATCTGCAGCAAGACTAAACACATGCTGTGCACATTCACATTGTGCAGTTTTCAACTGAATTACATAGAGAAGAAAAAGGCAGCTTCGCAAATGCTTGTCCCTACTTGGTTTTCCACATTTCTGTTCACTAGTATCTTTTGATATACCCCTACAAGCGTTAACATATGTGAGTCATATCTTGGGCCAAAAACCTCTCCGCGTGGGTCCGCGTCAGTGTCCGCGTCAGTGCGTAGAGGGCGGCGTAATATCATGGTTATGTATATATCTAGTTCGTGTTGTGCAGATACTGGCGCCTGGGGGGTGGCGTGAATACATATTTTTGCATACATATATGTAGGTTTTGAATGACGAAAGGGCTTGGTTCGCAACCAAGCCGACTTGCATTGCAGTGTGACATGCTGCAAGCTCTTTTGCTCCAAGGTAAAAAGCATCCCCGCTTGCTCCGCTTGCAGGTTATGAGCCCGACGTACCTTTCTGTGCGGTGACCAGTGCGGTGAGTTTTCGATCAGCTTACCCAAAGCGAGCTGCCAAAACACCGCGACCGACATTCAAAAACGCAATGCTGTGCACATTAGCTAGGTTCAAGATAGGTGGTAGAGGCCTTAAGTAAGATCCAAACATGTCTGGTACGTACGGCTGGTAGGTTTGGTTTTCTTGGTACGGTACGGTTGGTACATGTGGTACGGTACGGTTGGTACGTTTGGTACGCTTAGTAAGGTACGTTTGGTACGCTTACCAACCGTACCGACCGTACCAACCGTACCAGTGAACCGTACCGACCGTACCGTACCAGATTAAGGGGGGGGTCAAGGGGGGGGCGTTTTGGATGCACCAAGCGTACCAAGCGTAGCGTACCTATCTTATAGCTGGATATCAAGCACCTATCTTGAACTTAGATAATGTGCACACATCCTTTCACCGGGCCCGTGACTTGTCCAGAGGCAAGTGTCCCGCAACCCACTTGGAAAAAGAACAAAGCCTTGCCACCCACACCGGCCCTGACACGGACCAGATCCCGCATTGGCTTGCACTGACGGCCATTGACACGACTACCGACATGGACCCACGCGGACGTACGCAAACCCAAATCCCACACCCACCCGGCACTAACACAGACCCACGCGGACCCACGCGGGGACCTTTTCCTGCACCGACGCAGACACTGACGCGGACCCACACGAACCCACACGGGGACCGCTCCCCGCACTGACGCGGACACCCACGCGGACCCACACGGACTGACGCGGACACCGACGCGGACCCACGCGGGGCCACCTCAACGCCGCCCTCAGAACGCTTACGGGGGGACGCGTCAAGTGATTTTGCTGCAAGGGTGCCCGGCCCCGCGTGGGTCCGCGTCGGTGCCCGCGTCAGTGCGGGGAAGGGTCCCCGCGTGGGACCGCGTGGGTCCGCGTGGGTCCGCGTCGGTGTCCGCGTCAGTGTCCGCGTCAGTGCGGGGGCCGGGGCCTCGCGTGGGTCTGCGTGGGTCCGCGTCAGTGCCCACGTGGGTGCGGGCGCTTGGGGGCCCGCGTGGGTCCGCGTGAGTCCGCGTGGGTCCGCGTCAGTGCGGGGAGGAAAAACAGAGGTGCTGATTTAACACACACACATTTTGCTACAACATTTTGTGGCAAGAACATAGGACCAGAATTTGACACAGGCGCCCGCCAGGCACTTTGCACAGCAACCGTGCCACCGAAAAGGCTATAGTGTTAACGCTTTCAAGGTCATAACAAAGTATCTTTGATACAAATGGAAAAGACGGATTCAAAATGTAAAAGCAATTGTGTATCATATGGCTGAAAAAATGCACTTGCAGAATTATCGTCCTCAAAAGATACTATATACTTCCATCATCATCAATCCCATTCCGATGACTGACAATGGATACAGTGGGTACATAAATCCCTATTGACGAAATAAAAACCTGAAAGCAATGACTGGGTCACTGGGTTTTACTGTTGCAAAAAATGCCACCGAACTTGACCACCACCACTCCGTCTGAGAGGCATTCATCTAGGATCTCTTCCTGGAGCAAAACAGAAACGCAAGGGCGGGAAGGTTTGGAAGGTAGCAGGTAATCCCATCCTACTATATATATTATATAACATTACCCCATAAATGGTCCCAAATGTGTTTAAATCCCATACTTGAAACCATAGTTTCTGGGAGGTGTTTCCAATTCGGGGCGGGGAAAAAGATTATCATGGCAAGTATGACAAATTCTGACAACTGCTTTCAAAAACAAAATGGAATGATTCAGCATCAGCAAAAATGATTGCAAACATTGCTCAAAAGTGACTGAACCCCGCCTCCGGTGGTCCGTTTTCTGGAACATCATCTTCCTGGAACCAAAAGTTCCACTCCGAGAGGAGAAGCCCAATGACTCACGTAATTGTTTGGGTCGGGAGTTCGTCGGGTCCAATGCTGCGGGCCAGGATTTGGAACATCCGAAAACTAACGGTTCAGAAATCAGAAGACAAGCCCTGACGGTTTTCCGTAGAAAGAAAGTTCGGAATTGATGGAATTTGAAGTGACAACTGCATTGCACCTCCTCGACTGGAGACTCATCCGCCAAGAACTCTGTCTCCTTGACTGCATATGCAAGAGTCTGCTGCCCTGCTATACAGCTGCTGGCACCTCATGACTTCCCACAGTGGTGAGCCATGATGCCATTAAAGGCGGGCAAACACCAGTTCTGCAAACTGAAATTGGATTTTGCGATTGATAACAGCTATGCACCACAGCTTCAGGGAGGGTCCTCTCTCTCTTCTCCAGAAGGGGATCGCGATGATGACGGGCTCTCAGAATTTGATGGATTCGAAGAACGTGCCATATTCAAATCCTTGCAATGACTGAGAGCAAAATCTCCAAGACGCACACTTCGGTTGGAGATCAATGAGTTTTGAGAAAGGGTTCGTCACTTGCAAGACCTCTATTGTATGATTGTGCGTATGTAATGTAATGTAATGTAATGTAGTGTAGTGTAGTGTAGTGTAATGTATGTATGTATGTATGTATATGTATGTATATGTATGTATATGTATGTATATTTATGTATATGTATGTATATGTATGTATATGTATGTATATATATGTATATGTATGTATATGAATGTATATGTATGTAAATGTATGTATATGCATGTATATGTATGTATATGTATGTATATGTATGTATATGTATGTATATGTATGTATATGTATGTATATGTATGTATATGTATGTATATGTATGTGTATGTATGTATATGCATGTACATGTATGTATGTATGTATGTATGCATGTATGTATGTATGTATGCATGTATGCATGCATGTATGTATGTATGTATGTGTGTATGTGTGTATGTGTGTATGTGTGTATGTTGTGTACGTGTGTATGTATGTGTCTGCATGTGTATGTATGTCTATGTATGTGTCTGTATGTGTATGTATGTATCTATATGTGTTTGTATGTGTATGAATGTGTATGTATGTGTATGGATATGTGTGTATGTGTATGTGTATGTATGTGTATGTATGTGTATGTATGTGTATGTATGTGTATGTATGTGTATGTATATGTATATGTATGTATGTATGTAAATGTAAATGTATGCATGTGTATGTATATGTACGTCTGTGTATGTATTTGTATGTATGTGTCTGTATGTGTCTGTATGTATCTGTATGGGTCTGTATGTATCTGTATGTGTATCTATGTGTATGTATGTGTATGTAAGTGCATGTATGTGTATGTAAGTGCATGTGTATGTGTATGTGTACGTGTACGTGAATGTGTATGTATGTGTATTTGTTTGTGAATATATGTGTACATGTAAATGTATTTGCAAATGTTCAGATATGCATGTATGTATGTATGTATGTATGTATGTATGTATGTATGTATGTATGTATGTATGTCTATATGTCTGTATGTCTGTATGTCTGTATGTAAATGTAGGTATATGTATGTAAATGTATGTAAATGTATGTATGTGTATGTAAATGTTTGTAAATGTATGTAAATGTATGCATATGTATGCAAATGTACGTATATATTTATGTATGTATGTATGTATTTATGTATGTATGTGTATGTAAGCGTACGGAATGAAAATGTATTTGTATATTATATATATATATATGTATTTGTATGTATGTGTCTGTATGTATCTGTATGTGTATGTATGTGTATGTATATGTATGTGTTAGTATGTATATGTATGCATGTGTATGTACTTGTACGTCTGTGAACGTATTTGTATGTATGTGTTTGTATGTGTCTGTATGTATCTGTACGTGTATGTGCATGTATGTGTATGTATGTGTATGTATGTGTATGTATGTGTATGTATGTGTATGTATGTGTATGTGTATGTATGTGTATGTGTATGTATGTGTATGCATGTGCCAGTATGTGTATGTATGTGTATGTATTTGTATGTATGTTTATGTATGTGTATGTATGTCTATGTATGTTTATGTGTATGTATGTATTGTGTGTAGAATATGCGTGTATGTATGTATGTATGTATGTATGTATGTATGTATGCTACATGCATGTATGTATGTATGTATGTATGTACCTATATATGTATGTATGTACGTATGTATTTATGTATGAATGTATGTATCCATATATGTGTATGTATGTGTATGTGTACTTATGTGTATGTGTATGTATGTGTATGTGTATTTATGTGTATGTGTATGTATGTGTATATGTATATGTGTATGTGTCTGTGTATATGTGTGCATAGAGTATGTCAGTATGTCAGTATGTCTGTATGTCAGTATGTTACAATGTCAGTATGTCACAATGTCAGTATGTCAGTATGTATGTATGTATGTATGTATGTATGTCAGTATGTCAGTATGTCTGTATGTCTGTATGTCTGTATGTCTGTATGTCTGTATGTCTGTATGTCTGTATGTATGTCTGTATGTCTGTATGTCTGTATGCCTCCATGTCTGTATGTCTGTATGTCTGTATGTATGTATGCATGTATGTATGTATGCATGTATGTATGTAACAATGTATGTAACAATGTATGTATGCATGTATGTATGTATGTAGGTAGGTAGGTAGGTATGTATGTATGTGTATGTATGTCCGTACGTACGTCTGTATGTATGAAAGTATGAATGTATGGATGGGTGGATGGATGGATCTACGTACATATGTACGTATGTAAGGAGGTAGGTATGGATGTATGGATGCATGTATGTACATCGTACGTACGTACGTACGTATATACGTACGTACGGAAGTACGTACGTATTTATGTTTGTATCTATGTATATAATCGTCCGTTGAGATTAGCTGGGGGGCTTGGGCCCACCACTTTACCAGTTCAAAACTGAAAAGCAACTAATTGGCATGTTTGAATCCACAATATCTGTAAATTTGTTTGTCCCAAGCCCCTCTAAAACCTTCGTTTTTCAACTATCCCTCTGTAAATAAAAACCAAGGTCGGTTCAAGCTATCATCCAGTCATCTCAACCACTCAGACCCCCTTAACATAAAACAAACACATGTTACAGAGAGTCAATCTTGAGACCCCCAAAAAATACTCCAAAACACAAAAAAACACCAAATGTATTTTTTAAACCCCTTGTGAATTAAGTCGAAACGTCATGGGTCCCCATTTTATAGGGATAAAACGCCGGGGTACATCCCCCCCCAACAGGACCCTCCTGGGGAGGGTTTACCTCTATAAAATGAAAAATAGCAAGTTTGTAGAGGCCATCACTTAACCCTCGTTTAACCCCAAAACCCTTCAAACACTGTAACATGGGGCACCCTGACATATCGTCGAGCCTATCTTTATTTTCCTAAACTTACCCAAAACTCACTACAGAATGGGGGCCTATGACCACCCCAAATGTCATTTTAAACACCTTAAACCTAGGATTTTTTTGACGTCATGGGTTCCCATTTTATAGTGATTATATACCCTTTAAAACCCTGATTTTCTGACTTCATGGGTTCCCATTTTATAGTTCCTTAGAAGTCCATAATAATTCCATGCTATGTCATATTCTTCCATTTGTAACTCTTAAGGGCTATAGGCTATAACCATATGGATCGACCCGCAGTGACCTGGACGCGTGGTTCGGACTGGGCCTCCTGCGTTTCGGTATTTAAAACATAAAACGAAAACACATAAAACATTCCAGAGTATTCCACATATTCCAGATATATAGAGGCATAAAGTGCCGCATGAGGCTGTGGTTTCCCATTCTGTGAATGTTTTGTTCCTTCCAAGAAGGTGTTTCCCTGCATGCTGACATATACATTTGCAAGATGATGTTTTTCCAATGGTGATTTGCCAATGATTTGCCGTTGCTATGTCCAGTTTTGCCTCTATAAAATGGAACATTATGTAAAACATGAAAACAAAAATGAAACAACACATAAAACATTCCAGAATATTCCACATTCCAAATATATACGGTTATGCCTCTATAAAAAAGAACAGTTTGTAAAACATATCAAAAGCAATAAAAAAATAAAACATTCCAGAATATTCCGCATATTCCATATATATATATATACATATATATATATCTATACATATATATATATGATTATATATGGCAGTTGATCAAAATTCCTTTATCCGGGAACGGCCACTCTTCGCGAATAAAAATGTTACTTTCGCGAAACTTTCGCGAACTCCATGTTTATCTTTCGCGGGGCCTATGTTGGCCAACAACACCTCTTGTGAAGATTCATTCACCATTCACCACTTCTTGATAGCCTTTTAACCATGCAGCTAGCATCACGGAATCCCTTCTCAGGGCAGATTGTTGCTGACTAGGTTTTTTTGGCAAAGTTTACTGGCCCACCCCCTTCAACATGCACTTTGACTTTCGCCCACTCTTTCGCATAACTTTCGCGGAACTTTCCCAAAAATATCCCTTTTCACAGACCCCGGCCATCAGCAAGGGGTGCATGGAAGGAAAAGCAAACACCAGGGGCCTTGGTGTTTGGCTCTCGCAAAGCCTCACTTTTGGAAACTTGGCTACTGCATTTGGAGCTTGTTTCTTGAGACTTCAAAAAGCACCATTAGGCAGTGACAGCGGCAGGTGCAAGGATGTGCTTCAGGACCATGACATTTGGCTGTCGCGAAGCCTCGCCTTTGGAAGCTCGGCTGCTACCTATGAAGTTTGGCTGTCGCCAGGGAACTGAACCAGAACCAAACCGAAATTCTCTAGTGCCCTTCTCCTGCCGGACCCCGGGCGGCAGTGGGTGGCAGCCCTTTACATACTGATTATCATATCCAACTTTCGCGAAACTTTCGCGAAAAAATGTTACTTTCGCGAACTCGAAAAAAACTTTCGCGAGGGTTTCCAACATAACACGCACGGCTTTCGCAATTAAAACTCCTTACCAGGACCTTTAGATCGATCACCATATATATATATATACATATGTATATATATATATATATATATGTATATATATATGTATATATATATATAAATACACGTTATGCATCTATTAAATGGGAAATTGCGCAAAACATTTCAAAAAAACAAAAACACTATTCTGGAATGTTTTATGTTGTTTGTGTTTTTGTCACCTGTTACCGTGTTACATATTTTTCCATTTTATAAAGGCATAGCTTGTATATATCTGGAATACCTGGGGCGCCCTAAGTGCCAGAAAAAAAAAGTGATATTCAACAAAACCTACTTTTTGAAGATCCGGGATGGGAAAGGCTTGAAAATTTGAAATATCGCAATTTTTGGTCATTTCAGGTGTTCTCAGGTTCTTCACACGCTTTGGCCGCCCTTTCCATTACATAATATGAAAAAGGCAATCTTGGCTGAAGATATGAAAAAGGCAATCCCAAAAAATTGGGTGATATGCCTGAGCTAAACTCTCACAACAGTTGAAAACAGGTTTGCAACATATTTCTTGTAGAAACAAAAAACAAAACACAAATATCGCGGAAATTTGCGGGAATATCGCGGAAATTTGCGGGAATATCGCGGAAATTTGCGGACATATGTTTCAACCATTTTAAAACCAACATTTCCGGCATGTGTGGCCATGGCCCAAAAATTTCAAGATCCCGCCTCTCTATCTTTTATTTCCACAGAACCAATTCTCCGAATCCATGGCGCCCAGACTTAAAAGAGAACGAGGCTGTGGGCGCCGCAATTTGGCAAAATCATTTATCGCATTTTGTTTGGTTTTATCGCAATTTTTGTTTTCCATCGCGTTTTTTCAAACCAAGATGGTCCATCGCGTTTTTTTCCTGCACTCGGGTTTCGCAGGTATGTGGAAAATTCTGGAATGTTTTGCGTTTTTGTATTTTAGTCATGTTTTACACAAGCTTCCATTTTATAGAGGCATAACCTCTAATATATCTGGAATATGTGGAACAGAGGGTGCATCTATAAAATGGAAAATTATGTAAACCATGACGTCGGAAAATTGTGGTTTTCCAGAGTATATGGTCTCTATAGAATGGGAACCTATGACGCTGTACGTGGCTGCCACCCAGCAGGTGAACATCATCATAAAATGCTTCTCTGACTCCCCCAAGAAAATTGTATAAAATGGGGGGCTGCGCCCGAGCCCTAAAAATGCGAGAAAAAATGTGTATAAGAAAATGCTCTCAGGCCCGTATCCTCCCCATTTTATAGAGGAAACTCCTAAGGGACTATTTTATAGATGGCGATATTGTATCATATTCAATCCAACCTCAATTATTCTCATTCAACCCATCTGAACCCCACCTATTCGCCATGGGGAACAATAGCCCATATAATGACAAGAACCTAGAGAAACAATCTTTAGGTCTTTAGGTGCATCAAAAAAAACGACACGACAAACTCTAAACCGCCACCATTCACCACTCCCGAAGAAACTGACGGGAAGATCTAAAGCAAACTCCAGTAGGCCGAGGATATTCAAATATATTCCTGATCCTTCAAGTTTCTTCAGGTGTATGTTTGTTTTGCAACATGCTTTGCGCTCCTGGGGTGTGGAGCTGGGAGGGAAAGTGCCTCTGCAAAATGCGGAGCCTGCAGGACACTAGAATTTGAGCACCAAAAACAGGAAATCATTTTTGTTGTTCCACAATCTCTTGTGCCTTGCAGGCATCTACATGCATAAGCAGTGAGAAGTTCCTTTCAAACGAGTTGCCAATTCGGCTTCCAATGTGATCTCGATCTACGTTTCTGAGTGGACTCAAAATTACAATCCAGAGAAGCTTGGATAAGATAAGTTATCTTGAGATAAGCACCGACCATAAAGCAACTTGAACTCATTTGAATAGTCTTGGCCTCCTGGAATGTTTTTCAGGGAAATGTATTGTGATGTTGTGCTAGTGGTGACGTACGGCCGTACGGCTTCTTTTATTTGTTGTTCGAGTTTGCTTTGCATGTTTGCTTTGCAGAATCCTGTGTGCTGCTGGGACCTGGAGCTGGGAGGGTGGAAGGTGTCTGTTCAAAATATATGCAGCCTGGTCTTCCGATGACATGTGTTTTAGACTTGTTGCAGCCTGACAGCTTTAAGCCATCATTGGCGTTGGTGGCCCGCTCGACACTGCTTCACAAAAATTCTCTGCAAACTACCACTTGGAACTGTATGTGCCTGTTTGAGCTCTGTAAAATAAAAACCGTGCTCAATATACAACAACATACAGTATATGGGTCTAAATGACGATCCAAAAATATCTGTAAAAAAAAACGGGCTCAGACTAAATAAAAATAACAGCCAAAATGAAATCACTGTAAAGTGAAAGAATTCAAACAGGCATAATTTCATAGCTTTTCCGTTGGGGAAAAAATACTTTTGGCGGACCCCCTCACCCCACCACTTAACAGAGGAACCTGACGGGAGGATATTTTATATATATATATATATATATATATATATGATCCCGTCTTCCGCCCGCGAGGTCCCCCCCCAAATGGGATGGGTCTCCAGGTAGCACCCCCCCTTCCCTTCTATTTGCAAGCTATTGGCAGCATTTCTGATTTCTGACGTCCAGGCTCGTATTTTCTAGGTTTTCGCAGCGATTCTGACTACCAGCCTCCCATTTACTACCCCTTTAGACGACCTACGTAGCACGCATACTCCCTCAAAGTACCTACGTGCTACCTGTAGTCATATATACATGTGCTATGTATCTACTTATATATATATGTATATATTTATATTTACATGTTATAGAGACAATTAAATATATATATATATGTATTCATATTCGTACTTGAATATTTACATATATATAGACACATATATACATATATTCACACATGCTACACTGCACAGAATGATGACGCTTGAACTTGCGCGGCCTCTCTTGAAAAAGAGCTCGTATGCTGCATGTATCATGTGCCGGGCTCTTGTTCTTCACTTGGATTCCGCCGCTCCTGCTCCCGCCTCCGCCGCCGTAGACTTATCATCACCACTCATCACAGATCCACTTATCACATCACAACTTCTCATCACAACTCATCACAACTTATCACATACCAACTCATCACAGCTCCACTTCTCACACCTCACTCATCACAGCTCCACTGCTCATCACAACTCCGCACAGCTCCACTTCTGACAGGTCCACTATCATCACAACTCATCACAACTTATCACATCCCAACTCATCACGGTTCCACTTCTCACACCTCACTTCTCACAGCTCCCTTATCACATCACAACTTCTCATCACAACTTATCACAACTTATCCCATCACAGCTCCACTTATCACACCCCTTCTCACACCTCACTTATCACATCAGAACTCATCACAGCTCCACTTCTCACACCTGACATCACAAGTCCACTTCTCACACCTGACATCACAAGTCCACTTCTCACACCTCACTTCTCACACCTCCCCGAAGTTCAAATTAAAATCTTACATACATAAAGGCTTGACATGTGGGGTTATCCGGTCCTTTCATTTGAAAAAATCGGAACTATAAAGAATTGATTGGAGCTATCCGTGGTGAAGAGTTTTGGATTGAATTGTCATGATTTGTTTTGCTTTTGCGAACTTTAGGTGATGGAAAAATGGGTGGATTTGTGTGAAAATGAAAAAGTGCGAAACCAAACATCCTGAAGATATTTTTTTTGACGCAATGCCTTTGGCAAAAAAGCAGCATGAAAACAACGGCGTTGGTTTTGAGGTAGATCTTCAAATGTTTCAATCTGTGTGTGCTGCATGTCCTTCAAACAATCTAAAACCCTTTGCTGTTCTTTTTTGCGGCTGTGTTTTTGGTGAATTTGCAAAGAGAAAGCATGAAAGAAAAGCACATGTGAATTCCTGCAGACACGCCTGCGCAATTCACAATGTGAACTCTTACAGGCTTGGCTACGCACCTGCTTCAAAAACAGAACACATCACATCCAAAGATACTTTTGCACAACCCACGAGAAAGCACGACCACTTAGGGGACTTAGCTAACTCCACTTATAAACACTTAGCCACGTGGTCTTCGGGCCAGTTACTAACTGGCCTAAGTCTGAACTAACTATTTACAATTGAGCTGTGACTTATAACTTGAAAGTAGCGAGGTAGTATAAACACTCATAATTACTTTTTGGGCCAAACTGACCCAAAACTGTGGCTAAAGGGACGGTAAAACCACCGGCAGAAGGGCTGGCGCAACTCAAGAAACCCGATTTCTTTGGTTTTGTGGCCGGCAAACTTAGCGGCAGAACCTGTGGTTAACTCTGTGGGAACGAAAAGCCATGGCATTTGTGCCGGCAAGTCGTATGGCAGACCATCCGAACCATGATGGACAAGCAAAATTAGGGGCAAATGTGCCGGCAAGAGGCCCGGCAAAGCGCGCGAACTAGCTCTGGCCAAGCCAAATTTACGGTCATTTTCAATGGCAAATGTGTTCAACGCAAAAGTCAATGAAATTTGGTACATGTTGGCACGTATCAATGTGGAAAAGCTGAACAATGAAAATCAAAAATCAATATTGCATCCCCCTCTTCATGGGGTCACAGCAAACAAGATCTGCTACTCTGGTCCACCAGGAAAGCCATCTTATTGGTGATTTTTTCCATAAGCCGACTTGGACAATGTCCGGGCACTTGCAAAAAACGCTTGTTTGATTGCTGCAACCTTGACAGACGCCTGGCAAGAACCTGGTACAATCCTATGAATTGAAGAGGGAGTCGGTAGCAGGAACCTTGTTGGCGGAAACGGCAAAACCCGGCACAAGCCGGCGGAACTGACCTGGCGAAAGCCTGGAACCCAGTGGAACTTAGCAGAACCCAGCGGAGCGGCGGAACCCAGCGGAACCCGGCGGAACCCGGCGAAACCCGGCGGAACCCGGCGGAACCCGGCGGAACCCCGGCGGAACCCGGCGGAACCCGGCGGAACCCGGCGGAACCCGGCGGAACCTGGCGGAAACCTGGCAGAAAAAAAGTAAGTTGAAGGGGGGGGTGGTTGGGAGTATAAACCATGCCAACAGTTATACTCCCAACCACCCTTTAACTTACTTTTTTTCCGCCGGGTTCCGCCAGGTTTCCGCCAGGTTTCCGCCAGGTTTCCGCCAGGTTTCCGCCAGGTTTCCGCCAGGTTTCCGCCAGGTTTCCGCCGGGTTCCGCCAGGTTCCGCCGGGTTCCGCCCGGCTTCGCCGGGTTTTGGTAGGTTCCGGGCGGGTTTCCGCCAGCCTCGGGCTTCTGCAAGGTTAGCGCGAAGCCGTCAGGTTTGCATCAAGTTACAAGTTCTTTTTCCCAAGTTTCTGCCAAGCCCCCGCCGTCTCCAACGCAAGACCTGTCACAACTAGTCACAATTTAAGCGTTCTTTTTCCAAAACAGTTTTCAGCTGAATTGTCAGCTCAGCACTGCTTGCCTGAGGGCGGCGGCTGCTTGAGCAGCTTTGCTGTGAAATCAAGGCCCACGCAACCAACTTGTCCAGTCCAATGCGCGGCGCTGGACGCTGGAGACCTTTAACCGTCAGCTTGGCAGGCGCTAAAGCCGATAATGAAAACCCGGTATGCACCTGGTGTCCGGCAGTGAACTATTGAAGTAATGCCCGGCGCATCCCAACTTGGAAGCAAATAATGATAAATAATTTATGTTGGTGCCAGGTTGTGCCTTTCGAGGCAACATTTCTACTCGGTTTGCTGCTCTTTTTTGCCTCGGATTTTTTCTAACTTGACCGGCATGTTGCCGCCTAGTTTGCCGGGGGTTCGGCCGGCTGCTTGGCCAGGGCCAAAACCACGATTTTCATCTTGTTTCTGGGGAGTGTTTATACTCCCAGGCTTACTCCAACTTATAACTGAGAAGGCTCAAACTTAGCCACATTATAAACTCATTTGGGGTAGATACAACCCCACTTGGGCAACTGATAAACCAAGTTGTAAGTTGCGCAACTTCAAAAAGCACCAAAGTATAAATGTGCTCAATACTCATGCATGTACCTCTGTAGGTATTAGGTCAAAAGAAAAACACAGGCACAAATTCAAAAGCAATGAGTAGAGCACTACGCCTTGTCGTACCCAATTGGTAATAAGAGTATCTTCCTGTTTATCTACACAATGGCAAATCGGGAAAACTGAGCTGAAGTCACGCAGTGGATTCGAAAAGAAAATCACTTGAAAGTAACGGATGTCCTCCTAAGAACATGTCGAAAAGAAAACAGCATAGTCGCTAATTATTTTTCGGCAGTGACCAATGGTGCGTTGAGCACGGTCTCTCCAAGCAAAATGCTCGCTCTACCGGTGTGAAAAGTTTCTCATTCGCATCGCAAGATTCAGAAATTGAAGTCAGATGGACAACAGTTGACCGAATCACAAAATAAACGGAAGTCGCGGATCTCCAAAGTTGCTCATTCAAGCGGACAATGGACAAAATTCGGAGTTGGTATATTGGATTCGCTCCATTCGGAGGTGTTCTGCTCAGCGGAAAGTTCATGGTGACAAATTGTGATAGTATCTCTATTTACCGGGGTATCTATCTACATTAAATTGAAATTCAGACACTTGTGACATTATCTCCATCTAAAAGAGTATATGCCATCTTGTGAAAAACAAGCTTGGTGCACAGAAAACT